CTGCACCAAGTTAATTTTTTTGATGCAATTCAAAAATATATTATTAACATTGGCCCTACCATAATGCTTGTGTCTATCTTTATATGACCTTAATCTTGTGTCAAACAAAGCTATTCAATTCATTAAGCTTACAGCTTGAGCTCATATCAAAAAGTGTTATAGAGGTTGCTTTTACATGACTTTAATCTTGTGTCAAACAAAGCTAATTGTCAATCCATTAAGCTTACAGCTTGAGCTCGTATCAAAAAGTGTTATAGAGGTTGCTTTTTAAAGTATTTTTTTTAATGTATTAAAAAAATATTTTAAAAAAATATTTTTGATATCAACGTATGAAAATAATTTTAAAAATAAAAATAAAAATTAATTTAAAGCTAAAAAAATTCAAAATTTTTTAAAAATGTGGTTGGACTGCAATACTAAATGGTCACTAAGAAAAAATAACATGAATTAATATATAATTTAAAAGTGTGGTTGGATTGCAATGCTAAATGGTCACCAAGAAAAAATAACATGAATTAATATATAATTAATCACATTATTTAATTAATATTAAAGATTGGTTGAGTATATATATAATGAACATTTAACTTGGATTGGATTGCTAACACTGAGAAAAAGTGATCTTGGTTTCTTATCTATTAGAGTAATAATCTTGTTAGCTAAAATGGTTAGACAAAACAAAAAATATAGATAGGTCATAATAGTTTACAGATCGGTTAAGAGGTTAAATATACAAAATGGATGAAGATTTCATGATCTTAGTTTTTCAAAACATCATTCAAACATGGAGTCAATATATTTCTAATAAATGACAAATAATAAGAAATAAGAGGAGAATAAAAGAGAGAACATAAAAAACATGAAAGGTATTTCAAATTACCAGTTATTAGCGAGTCTACCTTATATAATGATTTAGATTTTTTTATAAAGTGAGAGGTGACTTTCCAAGGATTTCTTACCTAAAGATTTTTTAAGGATATCTTACCTGAAGCCTAAATAGGCTCTCTTTGTTAGGTATTTGATAATTTCTTGACAGATGGCTAGTAAAAATAGAAATGTCTTCTATTAAAGAGATGAGACAATGATTTAAAAATAAATTTTTTTCTCATATAATTTAAGAGTAAATTTTTATATTTTCAAAACCAGAGGTACAAAATAGATTTGTTTTTTTTTAAGATCTATATTTTTTTATTATGAGACAATAATAAAATTTGATGATTTTAGCTCATATCATAAATAATTTTATTTTTTATATTATTTTAGGGAGGTTATAAAAATAAATATTTTTAATATATTAATTTAGATGTGTATGGTTAAAATCTGAATACCAATTTATGTAACATTATGAGTTGCATATAAGAATATACCAATCCATGTAACATTATAAGTTGCACATGAGAATTCGTGTTTAATTAATGATAGAGCACATAATGTTTTGACAACAAAGTAAATGATTTGTTTAAATCATTAAGTGATTTTTTCTTAGTATAATTGAGTTTGTTCTTCACTACTTATCTTGTATTTAAATTATTGTGGATTAGATTTAGAAATAAATTATTTTAAAAATAGATTTATTTTATATTTTAATCTTATTAACTTAATCAAACATATTTTTGTTTGTATTCTTCGTTAAATAAAAATTAAAAGGCAAATCCCTTTATAATATCATGAACTAATAAATAACTCATAATCTATGTGGTTAGGATTGGAGGGTGAAAGAAAGACCATCCCCTTGTTTTTAATCCACTTTCACTCTTTAATTAATTCTTCGTGTGGAAAATTTCTCACCGGGCGAAGAAATATTTGGTCCTTGAAAATCTCGAGTGGCTTTAGGTCCTTGAAGATCATATTCTCAGACTTTTAATTAAATAAGGTATTTTGGGATTTGTTTCCAACTTGTAGCCCAATTAATATTATTGTTAGCCTCGAAAGTATAGTACATTCCATTACTTTATAACATACTTTTTCAAATAATTTTTTTAATTTCTAATTATTTTACCATTAAAGATTTAATATCACATAAAAAAAACTATTTTAACTTGAGAATATTTTAATTAAATTATTGGGTGGAACGTTAATAATAATTTTATATTACTCTTAACAAAAACATATATTAATGAGATTTCTGTTTTGATGGAATGAACAAGATTTATTAGAAGTACAGTTAATCATTGAAATTTAAAGTCAATGATGATATAGAATATGTATACCATAAACTATATACCAAGTGGCTGATAAATAAATAAAAAAATCAGTAGAATCATCCATAGAAAGCACAATTCCATGATCATTCCTAGCTAATATGACTAGTTAATAATATTGCATTGTTTCCATAAAGAAATGAGATGGAACAGCATGGAATGAATTCTCTTACAACAAGGATATATATACCTGGGGATCAAGAAATCAACATCTTTGGGGGGGGTGGGGGGGTGAGATTGTTAAATAACCACCTGCATTGTCATGTCCAACGGGGGTGGTGGCCCTCCATCCGTCCCAAGGCTGCCACCCATTTGTGTGAAGCTCCTCTCATTGATATTTCCTCTGGCCAAGTTGAAGCCCAGCTAGTGGTTACACACCTGTGCTCAGTTTGCTGTCTGCAATCAGATCAGGGAATTATTAGTTCTGAATAATTGTACTTTAAAGTTCGAACCTTTCAACAGTGATGCTGTTTGCACCAAAGGAACATCCAGCATGGCTAGAAATTAGAGGGTAGGCTAATTAGCGAGTAATCAACTTGATTAAGTATTGAACCTTGATTTTCCTCCGCTTATCAATCTGTTAGGTTATATATTTACCTATATTGCTATTAATTAATTAACACACTCTTTGCTCATAAAAATAATCTGTTTGGAATTACCGTAGTTTATGTTTTGTTGAATGTCTTTCATAGGTAAGTTTATCTTAAAAATACATTAAATTGATATTTACTTTAGTATTTTTTTTTAATAATTTTAATATGTTAGTGTTAAAAATAAAAAATTAAATTATAAAAAAATTATTTTAATATATTTTTAAGTAAAAAAATACTTTTAAAAAAATGATGCACTACAATATAAATACGTGCTAAATAAATATTAATAATGATATAAAAATAACTATAACACCACCTTTTATTTGAGATTTCTTTATATAGAAAATTCAATAATTAAAATGTACTGATAAGTGCAGTGCTACTACCACGAACTATCCTTGTAGATTTTTTATTTTTTTTTCGTCATCTTCCTAATAAAATTCCTTGTAGATTTTTTATTTTTTTTCGTCATCTTCCTAATAAAATTAATATAAACATAATAGAACTTTCGAAATGAATTTCAAATTCAAGCTGCTAAGACGACATTGGGATTAGCTAGTTTGGTACAGGTTCAATATGCATTATTGAATAGTTATGTTATCTTTAGAACCCATAAAATATAAAATATATAGTACAGATATGGTCGGAATTTTTTCAAATATAAAAGCAATGCAATGCGAGCGTGATATTTCTACTTCAAAATTTTAGGTTGGCTTACCTACCTTTTCACACACACACACATATATTAAAAATAAAAAAAATAAAAACTTTAGCACCCATAATTTGTGTGTGTGTCTATATATATATATATATAACACTAATTTGTCACGTTGGTACGACAAAGGACACTTTCGTTGTTTATTTCTTTGACACGATCTTCGAATTAAATTAACAACGAAGCAATGGGTCGATTTTGTGGTTTATTTGGGCGTGGTGCTGCCACATTTTCAAGGCCTTAATACAAATAATATTGACAATAATAATAACACTATTTTTTTTGTATCATCTTGTTATTATAAGCATAATAGTGCTGTTACCACTACCGTTAGGAAGTTAAATTAATCTTGTTTTTATTATATCTTGGAATATTTTCTTGTTAATAACAATTGCTATAAAATTAGTCATAGATAAACCCACCTAGATTTGGATTTTAAAAGATTAATTTAACTTTTGAGTTTTTTTCGAAAAAAAAAATCATTAACTTCACCCGAGTTTGGCTCATCAAACATGTAATTACGTTATTTTTGACAAATTAGAATTTATTCCTCTCAATTTTGATGTGAGCAAATCCATTTATTAACAAAATCTATGCTTCGGTCAAGGATTGTTTTACTCGATATCGTAGTAGTATGAAGCCATCAAAGCTAGATATACAGAATAGTATTTGCCAACATCGTTCTCAGGAGGCAGATGGCTATAGCTTAGAGGGAATTATGTATGTAGTTTAACGGTTGTATGCGTAACAATGAGTAGCTTGACCAACACAATATCATCAGAAATGTTGCTCCGAGTATAATCTGAAGTCAATTCAAATTGAGTTGAGGTAGTTGATTTTCTAATGGATGACTTTTTCTTGATGGAGATTCTGATACTATGAGCACGTCCACTTGGAATTCGAGGCACATCATAATTACTCGAATCAAACACACATGAATGGAAATATTTTCACTTCAATATGTTTTTCACTTTTTGCTGGCCTCAGTCAGCCCTCCATGTCTGTCCATGATTACACCCTTGCCTCATAGTTCATCGTGGAAGACATCTTGGTTACAATTCACACTCCACACAAAGCCCAAGTTGGTCCTTGGTCCAACCCATTGCCAACCCACAGAATTACATCACCTCCATCGACAACATAGCTAGATTCAACATGGAAATCACAGTGCCTATAGGTAGCTAGCTAGCTAGGAGGAGAAACCTTCTAGATTAGTGGCTCTTAATTAATTAAACTAATCCTCATATATTATCGTGACTAGTAGTTGAAGACTTGATTTGTCGAGGAAGTGAAGTGCTTCAAGGATCTTCACTTGTGTTTTACTAATCCATACCCAATAACATCTCCCATTCTCTCCTGTGACAAGTGGAGTGACGTCGATGGATCTGTATTTTAAGTTCACTCACACACATACATAAAGATCATTCTTTATATGGCTTGGAGCATAGCTAAAGCCCTATGTATATTGTGTTGGTAAATGTTAATTAAATATTTCGTACTCTATAGTCGATGCATATAAATATATCTCCACTAGTATAACCACACTTTACCACTCAAGCCCTTTCTCATATTTAAGTTGTAATTCTATGAACAAAAGGAATATTTATAGACATATCACCATCTCTCTCACTCCCCCCCCCCCCCCCCCCCCCCCCCCCCCCCATTCTCTCTTTCTCCCTCACATTCATTCCTGAATGCTGATTTTGCCCCGTACTTCATTGCTCATCTTCCGGATTTAACCACCATTGAACAACACCACACAACACAAAGATTTTCAAAAAAACAAAACGAAAACCTATTCTCGTAAGTGCATAAGTCCTCTTAATCCACTCCAATATTTACGGAATCCCCTCACAAGACCCTCACAAAGCCTACTCTCCCTTTAGATAAGAGAGAAATTCATCACTAAATCTCGGCTTAATCTTTCAACTTAGTCCCCCACTTACTCTCTCCTCAATCCACAAGCAATTACACGTTTTATTGCCTAATGGTTTCTCTTCATTTTGCCCTTTCTCCTGAGCTCAACAACCAAACCAGCTTTGACTCGTATTAGTTATAGCTAATACAGTTAATCAGTGTGTTGATATATAACCCTTTTCTTTTTTTTCAACCACGCTCGTATATTGTACTAAGTTTTTGCACTGTTCATGGACTGCTCGAGAGAAATAGAGGGCAAACAAGCTCATGATCCTCTTTTTGACAAAATCATGAGTAAATCTTCACGTTGTGTTTTTGTCCCTGGTCCAGTTATTGTTGGCGCTGGTCCTTCTGGCCTTGCCGTGGCAGCATGTCTCAGAAGCAAAGGTTTCCCGAGTATGATACTAGAGAGATCTAGTTGTATAGCATCTTTGTGGCAGTTAAAGACTTATGATCGCCTACGCCTTCACTTACCGAAACAATTCTGTGAGCTTCCTCTCATGGGGTTCCCTAGTGAATTTCCAACTTACCCTACTAAGCAACAATTTATTCATTATTTAGAGACGTATGCACGCAAGTTTGAGATTAGACCACGGTTCAATGAGACTGTGTCACCTGCCGACTATGATAAAGTTATTGGGTTTTGGCGCGTGAAGACTGTTGGGAAAAAGTTAGAGGAGACTGAGTACGTGTGCCGGTGTTTGGTGGCGGCGACCGGAGAGAATGCGGAGGCAGTGGTGCCAAAGATTGATGGAATGGGAGAATTTGGAGGGGATATTCGGCATACAAGTCATTACAAAAGTGGAAAGGAGTTTAGTGGCAAAAAGGTTTTGGTGGTGGGGTGTGGGAATTCAGGAATGGAAGTTTGTTTGGATCTCTGCAATTATAGAGCTAAGCCTTCACTTGTTGTTAGAGATACAGTAAGTATACTCATCTTAATCAAGCATCGTCTTCTCCCTCTCTCTCTCTTGAAAACCTTATAGCAAAAATTAAACCCTTAAAAGGTTGGTTTTTAAGCCTATGCTCAGTCCAATTCCGCATGTTTTTGACGAGGAAAGAGGACTGGTTTTTCCTTCGAGCCTTTGGAGAATTTCTATTCTGAAGTCCTGTTGGGGAGAAAAGCTAGTTTTGATTATTCAACAATAAGATACACTGTTTTTCTTTTCTTTTCTTTTTGGAAAATTCAATTCGAACATTCAAATCCCTGGTTTTGGAAATGTTTGCAAAATGTTTTTTTTAATTTATAAAATAAAATCATTCAAAACTTCTGCTATCTTGGCATGTATTTGAGGCTCATAGGAGTTTTAGAACAATTTCCAATTGGCAGGGTGTGCATAGTGACTTTCACGTTCCAACAGCTTTCTTCTTGTTTTTTTTTTTTTTTTGTAACATGATCAAAGAAGAAACAATAGGGATATGTAGATTTAAATACAAAAAAAAATTGATCTTTCACTTTCTTGGGATGCCCAAGCATGCGCAACATTGGTCAGAGTCGTAGGATCTTACATATATTGTCATAATCATACATCTCCCTTTTTTATGCTCCTTTGATTAATTTTATTTTTCTCTGTAAAGACCTCCAGGCATGCATGTTCAGTTATGGCCTGGCATGAATTAGCCCATATTTACACACCACTAGGGAAACTAGAGGGGGCTCACCAAGATCAACTCAAGCTCTTTTTTAGTCATTCTTTAAGCCTTTTGAGTTGTAGTAGTAATAACTTCTCTTTTAATTTTTTGAGGGATGGTTTTTGTTTTGAATGAAGGTGCATGTTCTGCCTCGAGAGATGCTAGGCAAATCAACTTTCGGGTTGTCCATGTGTTTGCTCAAGTGGCTGCCCATGCGCCTTGTCGACCGGTTCCTGCTGATAGTGTCGAGGCTAATGCTAGGTGATACGGCACGATTGGGATTGGAACGGCCGGAATTGGGTCCCCTTGAACTCAAGGACTTGTCCGGGAAGACCCCAGTATTAGATGTTGGGACACTGGCCAAGATCAAAAGTGGAGACGTTAAGGTACTTTCACAATTATATCACGTATCATATAGTGTGTGTGTATCACATCACTTTTCATTTTGCACTCTCTGGCACCATATGTATGTTTTGAAATGGATCCTACTGTGCCAAACAATCGTACCGTTTGCTTTTCTTGATTTCATTGGTTGTGTCGCGTAATTCTAACTCCGTTTTAATTTATTTTCTTCAATTTTTCATATTTTTGAAGGGAAAAAAAGAAGAAGATGTAACCCCACTTTTTCCCCTATCTAACAAGTTCCCATTTGTTTAGTGTCTCTAAGAAATTATATTCTTGCCCTAAAATTCCTGAATTTCCCTTTGTTGTTTTAGGTATGTCCAGGAATTAAGAAGCTAAAACGTCATACCGTTGAGTTTCTTGATGGGAAGATGGAGAATTTTGATGCTATTATTTTAGCAACAGGTTACAAAAGTAATGTGCCGTCTTGGCTGAAGGTAAACTCTCTCTTTTTTTCCCCTTCATTTCCTTTCTTGTCTAAGCTTCTTGATTCTTGAGGATATATATGTTAATATTTTTGCACCAAGTTGATGATCAAAAGGCTAAATAAAAAGAGCATATGGGCTTTATTTTTAATTTTATTTTATTTTTTGAATTGTCAGGAAGAAGACATGTTCTCGGAGAAAGATGGGTTTCCTAAAAGACCATTTCCAAATGGATGGAAAGGAGAGTGTGGGCTATATGCAGTGGGGTTCACTAAACGTGGAATATTAGGAGCTTCAATGGATGCAAAAAGAATAGCTGAAGACCTCGAACGGTGTATGAAAGAAAAAGCGGCACCATATGATCATCATCAACGGTCAGTACTGTTGTTGAAATCATCATCATCATCACCATCACCATGAAGTTTTTCCTGTTTTGAGTTAGATTTATAGAGGATGTTGATTGAAGAATTATAGCCTGAGGCGTTTTTTGGGTGGTATATGCCAATAGACACAACATGGCTGATGGTACCAAAGTCGACATATCATCCTCCAATGGTGGAGAAACTAAAAGGGTTTACATAGGAGGGGGAAACCCTTATCTTGTCAAGATGACACCAACCAAATTAAGCCTAGCTGGGGAAGGAGGGGTCTGAAAGTGAAAGAAGGTTGGTGTAATTGTGTTGTTTTTCGGGGGGACCTCAGCTATATGATCGATCATCATGTACAGCTTGTACAACACATTTTTTCTCTGATTAGGTATGACTTTTAGAGAGGGAAAAGGATGAAGAAGGTGGTAGCTAGATTGTTTGGCACTTGTTTGCTTAGGTGATGATATGATTGCGCTTAACCTTTGTTTTGCCCTTCCATTGCTGGGTTTGGGATGATGAGACTGTTTAACCCTCTGAAGTTTTTCTCTGATGTAGCCCTTAATTTTGTATGCTTCATTTTTAGGCTTTGTTTTGGGATGGATGTATGTCATGGTGACTTTCAACAGGAGGAATTGATGACTTCTAATGAAATCCTTACATATATATTCTTGGATTTGGGATTTCTTGTGCAAGGAATTAGCTTGATTTCTTCTTTTCTTGAGGTCTGATCAGATGCCTCTAGCTCTTTTCTTTTTTTCTTTTTTTCTTTTTTTCTTTTTTTCTTTTTTGTGACTTGTGCTATAATCTTGATTTTCATAATGTATCAGCAAGCAGCAGGACCACCACCTTTCATCAGAACCCGTATGTGCACATTCAGAAGTCCTCAGAATCCTATTAAATATATTGCTTCCTTTTATAATTCCACTACAGGCAGGCTGGTGTACACACTTCAATGTCCAATTGGGCTCTCAAATTTGTACCGTCTAAATTAATATTAGAGATATTGCTTAATTTTACATAAGCTGAGCTCTCTGTGCAAATTAGTGTTTCCACAAACCATGGAAGCAACACGAAAGATTATGACCTTTTCTTTTTCCCATCAAGTAAGTGCGTAGCCTGAAATGGGCAAGCAGATGTGATATCCTTCGAATCTTCCTAGTGATCTTAAAGCAATATGGATGCTCTTGATAGCCATTACAGTTTTCATCAACCTTAAAAAGTTAAAATGGATTAATTGTGATACATAATCAGGTGGGACTGAAGGTTCTCTGACCCACAAATATAAAGGAAACCATCAGAAGAAAAGTTGTACGCATGTATAGATTTCTCGACTTTAGCTACATGTTGCCGTAAGATATATATGGCATCGGCAATTAGTGTGTCCGATTCTTTCTGAATATGACAGCTGCTAGACATGGCAGCAGACATAAAATTACCCAGCGACAACAAATTAACCTGGAAATTAAAATCAACTACAGTACTTCTATCTTTGTTAATTTAATAGGCAGATTGTAATATGTGTGTGTGTGTGTGTATATATATATATATATATATATATATATGTATATGTATATATGTATATATGGAGAGAACCAAATTCTTTATTCAATATACACACACTTAACTATTTCTGCCTCTCCTGAAATTATGTTCAGAATCCACGGGTTATCGAATCATGAAAAAAGGCGAAAATTAAAACAAAGAGGAGACTGTCCATCGCTATAGCATCCAAAGACTCGCTCATCAGATCTCCCGATGAACAGGAAAAAAAAGGAAGAAAAAAGACATGCCTGTAAAAAATCGAAGAAGAAATCCAGAAAAGATTTGATTTTCCGTTAAACTTAAAGTAAGTACATACAAGTATAATAGCAAATGATTCAATGGAACCCCATATTCTTCGCCGAAAGTAAAATTTTAGGATCTAGTTCAATCCCATATATAATCCCAAATTAAGAGGAATGGAAACAGCTTCAAAATTCCCATCACTATCTATATATATCACTTAACATGATTTTCTTGATTGTGCTTTTTGGTATTGTTGTTATGTGAAAGTGGTTTGTATCCGAAGTCATTATTGTGCCATGTCTTTTTTGCTCAAATTGGCCTTTAATTACCTTTTTTCCCCATCCCAAGTGTATGAACAAGAGCGGGGGGTGGGGGGAGACTTTGAAGTTTCTTTATGAATGAAGAAGCTGGTTTTGTTCAACTAGTGAATAGCAAATCTCGACCTTGAACATGGTCAAATGCTCCTAATTCTCTCCCCCTCATCTTGCTTATGTTTTAGATAAAAATATATTTAAATTCCCTTTTCAATAACTAGTAATTAATAAGTTGTAAGAACAAGAATAATTAATTGATCACGTTACAATCACAAAACTCGGCATGCATGTCATTAAACCAGGAGTTCTAGCTGTTCTTGTTTTTTTTTTCCTTTCAAGTCTCATTTTTTAAGATTTTAATGCAAGAGAGGAATGGAATGTTTCTGTTCATAAAGCTTTTGTAAATTTATACTATCCTATACTTATTATTAGATATTCAACACCATCTTCAGCCAGAAGGTACTATTTTTACTTATGAATGGACCATGAAATTTGGCTCCTCTCTCCTCTCATGTTTCTCTTTTTTTTCCTTTTACATATATATATATATATAGTTGAACGAGCTTGGTTTTGACAGTATGTGTATAATTACATGGAAGAGGGTAGTTGGGATTTTTAAGAAAGTAGGTGGTAGGGTTTATTCCGACCGCATAGTGTTGTTGATGAGCATAGGCACATAAAATATTAAATCGAATCTTGAGGACACTACACTAGTAACAATGATGAGAGGAGGAAGGATCAACATCAATGGGGGGGGGGGGACATTATTTCTCCTGCAAATTCCATTTAAGGGCATGCGAGGGAGGGTAGCTCTTAGCAGGGACTCCTTGCATGGCCCATGAGATCCATATGCCTATCTACGATGGACCCCTTTGGGCCTTTATTACCCCCCATAAACTGTCGTTTCTTCCCCCCTCTTTGTTCTTGCAATTATTTTGCAACTAGTTTAAGAAAAAAATAAATCTTTTTGACTGCCCAATCAACTCTCACATCTAAAGTTGGTTTGGTTTTTGCTTGCTTTTCTAGCACCCCGCTTTTATTCCAAAGATAATGCTTTAAGCCTTTTGGACCCATTGAGCTAAAGGAAGAGCCTTTGTGCACCGTACCAATCTTGAGCTTCCATAGTCTTCTTGTTCGATATGGTAAACAAATGTATGGGAGATATGGGAAAAGATTTTGTTAGCCTTTTAGCCAATATTGTGAGTTTTAGAATGTCCTTTTTTAAGATTCAATGCGCCCTTTTCTCCTCCAATTACCTTGGAATGAAAATGATTGTTTAAGCTTCTCAAGAAAAGAATAAAAAAAGGTCTCAGGCTTGTGAAATACCATTTATCAGCATGATTTCGAGCCCCAGTCGATGGACAAATTACCATGAATTCAAGCATCGTTTTTACTAGATGAGACTTGAACTTTTATAAAATCATTAACATCCATTAGTAATTGCGTTTAAGGACGAACTGTGGATGAAAAAACATGCCGGTAGTTAATTATTTGTTGCCAAAAAAAAATACTAAAGATTTCTAAAGGAATTGTTGAAAAGTTGAGAAGACATTTTTAAAAAAAAAAAAAAAAAACAGGGAAATGATACCGTATTGCTAAATTATTCACTAATGGATTGGCCCATCGATCCATTCCATCACTATAGTTGAGCTAATAAAATAAAAGGAAAAAAAAATTAAAATTTCATACTAAAACCATAGGAACCGGCTGTCAAAATTAGCAAAGTTGTGTTGAAAAAAAAACATTTCTAAGAAATTTTTTCATTTTTTTAAAAATTTGATTGAAATGAATAGTTAAAATCGAGTTATGACATTTATTAGTGTAAGGAACAAGTATAGATATTAATATTTCATCTCTTTTTAATTAGAACATTTTAATTATCATGATTTTTACTTGTTATATATCTTCTTCTAATACAACATATATAAATAATGTTTATTGTCATGGTTAGAATAATAAATATAATCTCTTTTGTTGTGTCTTATTGTCATGGTTAGAATAATAAATATAGCCTCTTTTTTTGTGTCCTTGAATCTACAAATATCCACAAGAATAAAGTGATCATTTATAATCTACAAATATCTATAAAGATAAAGTGATCATTTAACTTTACATCTATAATTAATAATGTTTTAAAATTCAAGATATTTAAAAATATGAATTTTTTTGTGGTTAGGTAATGAATCTAATTAAGTGTTATTGTTATTTGATCCATTCTCCATAGCTAAAGAAAGTGGTAACTTAATATAAGAATTCTAATACATGCAAAATAGTCTATTTTTATGGGTTTTAGGACTCTAATATGCTAAAGTTGGTATCTTTATATAAATAATGCAATAAATAAATGATAAAGCATTAAATCTCAGGAACAAGGTTGTTTGTTTTTATTTTAGTATATAATAAATGTTATGTAAGAGAAAATATTTTTACATGTATATGTTAAGAATGAAAAAATTATGAATCTCTGTACATCTATGAGTATAAATAGAATATAGGCTTATTAAGTAAGTCTCTAGTACTGTATACAATAAGTAAAACAATATCCAACTCTCCAATAATAGGATGCACATAACCCCTTGGCATTATAGATCCAAGTTAAAAAATCCAGGATAGTTAAAAATCTTAGAAGGATAAGTGTTGAGTCTAGTTATAAATCTAAGCTTAAACAATGCCTAATATTAGGCTCAGGATGTGCATAAAGTTTAATAGCATTAGGATATAGGTTTGATTTAAGGCTGAAGTGCATAGTTTTGACCTTAAAAAAAATTCAAGATGTGGGTTTGATACTAGACCTAGACTATAAACCTTTATGAAAACACCTCAAAAGGCAAGGTCATTGTTAAAAAAAGCTTAGGATAATAAAAAATTATTTGAAAAAATACTTATAAATCTTCTTCCATTAATAAGAATCATAATATTATTATTGAAACTTAATTGCTCAAAAATAAATAACTCTTTTACATCTAATTATTATGATGAAATTATTAAAATAACTATTAACAATAATAATGTCATCACAGCAACAATAATAGCATCACCATCGCCATTAATTGTTGCATAATTAACAAATCACTAATTGTTGATGCCACACCCATTAAATTGCAATATGACAATGATAACCCCTAACCTATATTTTTAGAGATATTTTTAGAGGAAAAAGAATATTAAATACTCAATCATAAGTTATTTATTAATATTTAATATTAATTATGAAACTTAAATCTCTAACCTTTATTTATGACAAAATATATAGCACCTTAACTTTCCCAATTTTATAACGATGCCAATTTAACAATACTATAATAACACAACTATATTTTAATTATTAATTTATTAGTGGTCAATCCAGCTTGTGAGTGTTGTAATAATACATAATACATTACTAAATGTGATATTTTTTAAAAGTATGTTAATTTTATAAGAAAAACATTAAATTAATATTTTTATAGTATTTTTTATAATTTTAATGTGCTAATATTAAAAATAAAAAATACTTTAAAAAATTACATGAGCCTGTTTGGTACTGTGGTATCAATTTTTTTTAAAACACTTTTTATTTGAAAATATATTAAAATAATA